TTGTTTGCTCTGGGCCAGATGTTAGTGACTGTCTTAGGAGACAGAACCTCTGGTCCAGCTGATTTTGTTGTAGTACTTCTCTGTTTATTCTCTTTTGTTAAATAAATTCTTCAAAGACAAGGTTTGTTGTAACTCAGTTATTTGCTTAACCTCTCACCAGAAATACAATTTCCACGACACTATTCAATTCAATTCAATTCAATTTTATTTATATAGCGCCAAATCACAACAACAGTTATCTCACAGCGCTTTTCATAAAAGAGCAGGTCTAGACCGTACTCTATGATGTTATTTACAGACGCCCAACAATTCCCACCAAGAGCAAGCACTAGGTGACAGAGGCAAGGAAAAACTTCCTTTTAAGAGGCAGAAACCTCGAGCAGAACCATGGCTCAGGGTGGGCGGCTAGCGACTAAGTAAGGCAGAATTGGCTATCTTGATTAAGATTGTCCAGTACTTGTTTCACATAGAAGGCACAAGATAATATAAACAAATCCTAGATTATTATAACTTGTTTAAATATCATAAGAACGGTTCATTAGTGACTATCCTAATCACCATCACAGTTTAATGTGTACAGATGTTATCGATTGTTTGTCAACATTTTTCAAGAGATGCGTGAGAGACAGGGACTAAGAGAGGAAGGGGGCCCACAGAGACTGCTTGTATACAGGGACTTGAATTTTGTGCCACACCCCTGTTATGCACTGACAGCACTTGGTTACGGTTTGAGAAAGATGGTCTTATTTACACAGATAATGACATGAGGCTCAAAATAGTTTTACTTTATTAACATTTACCCCATCACCTTCTCTGGCTAAGATATTTACTTTCAACATCAGGCACCATTCCATTTGGAAACCATAGCGAGACCAACACACTTACTGCAGGTGAGCCAAGCAAACTGCATGTTGGCAGGCTCATCTCGGCAGCATGCTGATGACGTTTGTCGTACTTCTCACATCTTTTATTCCTTGGCACACACATGCACACACACATTGAAGACAAAGGACACACAGAGGGCACATGCAGACCTACTCAGACCCAAGTCATGTACCTTCCTTGTAGACTCCCTGACATCCATCTTCTCTCTCTCTCTCTCTCTCTCTCTCTCTCTCACACACACACACACACACACACACACTTTCCTTCCCACCTCTGCCCCTCGTCCACCTCCCTTTCCCCTCTCCTCCAGCCAACCAGCCCTCCCAAGCCTAGATTCCCATTCTCCACAACTCTGTGGCTGGCTGACCTTGGAGCAATGAGGACGGATCACGAGCCGCTATTCATCTTATGTCGGCATGCCAGCCTGGCCAAACAAGCTTGGGGAAACAATCCCTAGCAAGGGAGAGCTGCAAGCATCACCGGCCCGAGTGGCATGATCTGTCAAATTACCTGAGTTCTCTGGACTGTGGCCCGGCCCCATATCGAGAGACCGGCTGCAGGCTTATGGTTGAGCACACAAACACACACTCTCACACACAGACGTAAGACTACCCCACAGCAACATGGGATCACAGTCTTTTCCATGACATTTATTTTTGGCAGTGTTGCTCCTCTGTTGATTTTGCCTTTTTGTCTTTGACCTTGTCTCACCCCAGTGTACATGTATTGCTTGTTTATGGAGGCTTCCTTCTTCATACTACACATTCAAAACTCTGACATTATCTCAGCTTTATTCTTTTTATAAGGGATGGGGGAGTTGAAGTTCTCTCATCCTCACTTCTCTCCACTTTTTTAAGCCTTTCTAAAAGCAGCTAACCCCTACTTTTTCTGTCACTCCCCATTTTCTCCCCATCTTGTGGGATGCACCATCACAATCAGTGCTATTGTAGCCTTCTTTTTTCCCTTCTGTCCTCATCCCTCCTCACCCCCTCCCTTTCTTTCCCACTTTCTGTGTTATTTGCTTCATTTTCAGAAAAAAAACCTGACACCTCTTCAGATCCACGCTGTGTTTTTTTCTTCTTACATGGTAATCAGTTTGCAAATCAGTGCAGTGTCAGGGAGAGTGTTGCCAAGATGTTTAGATCACTCTGCCTTAATCTGCGAGACGATAGAAGCGTTGCGGACTGCGGAGCACACTAGTGGATTGGACTGGAGTGGATTTATGTTTTAAGGGAAGCGAAGAAGGTGAAGAAGAAAGAGATATTACATTTGAGAAAAAAAGTTCTCTATAAAAATACCCAAAGCATCTAGGATGTGACAGAATAAATACGCTCAGAGTCATAATAATGGTCTTTATGATTCATTGATGAATTTTATGAAAAACAAGTTGGATGGTCAGGAATCTATTTACTGTTGGGCCATGCTGGCTGAAGTTTCTCAATTAATTTTTTTTAATTCAAAAGAAAACGCTGAACTGAAAGTGTGATGAGTAACTGGTGGTATTCTCAGTAATATAATTAAACTGTAAAATATTTTACAATTTGTTATAGCATCAAAGTAAATTGTCACTGGTAAATTGTCAGTGGCTTTGTTTTGTCTCGCCATGATAGTTTACAGAAAAACAGCTAAAGATCATAATGGTTTACAAGCTAAGAAGTCGATCCTTTATCAGCCCTGCTAGAATAATGGAGAGCATAAAACTGGAGAGCAGGAAGTGGGGTTTTATACAAGTTCCCCCCAGGGACCTTATCTTACCACAAACTGTTTCTAGAGAAGATGAGAAAATGAAAGGTTCTTTGAGTGTGGTGTTTTTTCCTCAGAGTTAGTCAGTGTTTCAGTTTTGGTCTTGACAGCTTTAGTACGGGAGGGGGGCAGACTGGGGCACAGATTTAAAGAAGGGGACCTTTGTAAAATGAGTAAAATCTGTTTAATCTCAAATTTAAAGCCCTGGTTCTTGGCAATAATAACTGTACATGATGAATAATTACATTATTTATTTAGTGTAATGAATTCCCAGCACAACTTTTAATATTCTAATATAAATAACATCAATAAATGACTAATATTTGTAACACCAAATAGTTCAAAGACTTGTACAACAGACTCCTGGACACAGACGTGTACAGTAGATGGTTCTCCACCCCATGTACATAAGAGCAGGTCTCCGACACTGAAAGTAGTGGTGTAAGTACCGAATGTGCAACCGGTGCCCAGGTGATTACAAGGGCCCACCGGGGACAGCAACAATTGCCACATGGATTATGATCAGATGTCGTCATCCATTCATTCATACTTTGTTGGCATAATGTGTTGCAGTGCTTTTCTTGATTGCTATTTGTTCTGTGGTTATTGACATACTGTGTCAGCTATTTTGTGTTGATTTGTTACTGTAGGCTAAAGCTATTTTGGTTGTTTGATAGTCAGAGACAGCAGGTTTGCGTCAAGGGCAGGCTGTAAGATTTCCGTTTGGCACTTCGACTGCTACTACTCTGTGGTGCTGATCAAAGGCTGCAGGTTTGCAATTGCGAGGAGTCACTGTGTGTCTGTACCTATGGTCTGTACGCTTGTGTGCACGTGAACATGCTTTTTGGGGTGAGGGGCGCAAGAAAAATATTTGCACCAGGGCCCATCACAATTATGTTGCTGACTGAAAGAGACACAAACAACATCATTTGTTTGTTAAATGTCACCCGAGGTCACCCCTCTGGCCCCGCCCCTGCCTGTGTTTGGCTGGAAGGGAAATTTTCCAGGATGTGAAGTGAGCTATGGTGGATAGGCACTTGGAGGATAGGTGTGATGGCATTCGATTAACAAGGTAGACTAACTGGAGCCAGGATTGGCACAATTCGTCCAAATGGGAGAACAGCTGGGTGTTTCTCTGCTCCCCTTCCCAAAACTCTGTTCCTCTCCATTTAGCTCGTCACGCAGTGGCAAGTACAGGCAGGTTGTTTTTCGAGGGGAAGTCACATTCAAGGACCAAGGGACCCCCTAGCGTTGCCATGGGGCAGGGTTTGGCTCTGGGAATGAACTTGCCTTGGAAAAGCCTGTGTGTGGGTGGGCATGTGGTTGCAACCCCCTCCAGAGGGCCAGGAACAGGGATGGGCGGATGGATGTTTGAGGAATGAAGCCCGGGTTTGCTGATTTATGCTCTGGAGTGCCACTAGAGAGCTGCATCAGCAGGACGGGGAGATGCACCGTGTGTGTGTTTAATAAATATCTCCTGTTCATGTCGGTGTCTTCCCCCAATTTCTACCCAGAGGAGAGAAGAGAAACCTTTTGGAGGCCTTTGCCCCCGTGTGTAGTCTGTGTGATCAGTTTTTGATGAGAATCTTCCCCTGAGGACTGGGTATGATAAGTTAGCTGTTCTAACAAGTTTATTGATCATGGTAATTGTCATGAAAGTGCTGAGTCATCACACTCACGCACACACAAATAATGTATACAGCTTACAAAGCTTGGAATAAGCTGCAGGAGCTGATCTGGGAACAAACAGAAACACCTTCCTTGAAATACCTCTGAGGTGACATGAAAAACAAATAATGTACTGTGTTGTTATCATTAACATGTTGCTTTCAAGAGGCGCTTAGAAAATCCCTCTAAGGCCTTCTCTTAGGGAATCAGTTCAGAATTACATAACAAGATGTAAGGAATTTGGGAGGCGTATGCATATGAGAGCACAGCGCAGCAAAGAAACCACACAAGGGTTTTCTTAATTAAGGATGATTTTCCTCCAGCAGTAGCTTCAAATGCACTTTACTCCTCTCCCATAATGCTTTGGTCTGGAGCATCCTTGGAGAGTCTGCACCACAAGAGATGAGTTACGCAGATATTCAGCTGGCCACAAGTCAGCACATGTACTTTTTACCAAAATATAGCTATTTATGCATCTTCTTGTTGTTTACTGACCTATTTTCAGAATTTCCTTTTTTTGCCGCTTTAGCTGATTTTGAGAGAAACTCCATCATGTTTTGCTTTTCTTTCTTTTATACTCATCCAGACTTTCTTGGCACAATCTATATGAACTAACTATATGAAATTACATTTTCATCAAAAGAAAATAACATAAGGCATTTTATGTAACGGGAAAGCAAGGGGAAGAATATGGGGAGGAGTGCGTTGAGAGAGGACCTTGCCAACAGTGGGGGAGGGGAGAGGGAGGAGGAACGCCGGATCGATGGATAGTGCAACCCAAAGCTCATTTTTAAGTCCGGGAGGAAGTTATTTGTGCAAGAGCCGTGCCATTGGAGACGGGGGGAGCAGTAGACACACGCGCACATTTGCCTACCGATGTGATGCCGTCAGCAGGAAACATAGCTCTCCTGGGAATCCAAACGGCCTGCTAATATCCATCCCCAATGTACAGCCACACGAGACCTTACAAATCACGAGCCTCACAGCGCTCAACTCGCCGTGCCTCTATCGAGCATATACACAGAGGCGGCTAATCGGAACCATCCATTATATGAGGGCAGGCTTGTTTCAGGCCACCGGCCATTCATGGTGATGGATGTGAATGAAGGCTGTGGGAGAGAAAGACCTTTAGAGAGTGCGAACAGATTAAGTAAGTCATCTAAGGCATTACAGTATTACATGAAAATGCACTGAGGCATGACCTCACAACAATGTACATTCCATGTATCAGTTTGTTACATAATTCTGGACTAATTTTACTATTCAGCTCTCTCACAGTTCTGCATCATGATCGTTTGCCATAGGTATGATTCTATGTAAGTCTTTAGAATAGAGTATAACATGCACCAATTGACAAAGCATCTCTTTGGGGTAGGGCAGAGAACCTAATTTTCTTTTTTTTTTATCGTTCACACTGATCTGAAACAGTTACATTTATGCAGCAACACTAAACGACATCCACTTTAGTGTCACAGTGCTCATTGGCTGGTAAGTGATGGAACGTGTGTGAAAGCTGGAATGACAAATCCATGCTGTATGATTTTGTAGCACCGTTACATTGACTAGAGGCACACAGGGGAGCCTATACAGCTCCATAGTGGAGTGTGAGCCAGTAAAACAATGACAAGCCCTATCTATCCACCCCAGGGTGGCTCCTCCGAAGTCTGGCGTATTAAACTGAGCCCTGAGATAAAGCGGCTTCTTGCGCAGTTCAGCCATGGGGGGAGATGCACCCACTCTCCTTCTGTATTCCAGTCATGCTGCATATTGTTTGATATAATCAACATGGACCAGGGGGTACTGCGCAGCACTCAAACACATAGCTCTCCCAAGGGTAATACAAGTCTGAGTAACACTGACCTGATTTATGCAGATTTCAACACATGGATGTGTGAAATATACAGGAAACACAATTTTCTACAGATTTTCGGGAAGCACTGAGGCATTTAAAGGATGCTGTGTGATGTAAGAGTGCACAGTCTACACACAAGCACATGTGTACACGTATATAGCATATGTATATGGTCACAATCCAAGACAGAATATTGCCTAGAGGTATATTGTGTTTTGCTGAGCTTTACTGTGTCAGAAGCCGGCTCAGTGGCTTTGCTTCACCTCAGATATGTTACTTTCCCCACACAAGTTGCCTCATATCCCAATGCAGACTGGAAATGGGAGCATACAATAGTTTTGCAATGCATTTGTACACGGTATACATTTCCACAGTTTGGCTGGGACTCATGACGCCTTGGAAAATGAAAAAAATTTCCACATGTCTGAACAAAGACAGGACTTTACATAGCAATGGAACTGCCAGAGTGTTACATTTTTCCAAAACACTGGACTTATTTTTTTAGAAATAAGTCTGTCAAAACCTCTGCAGATGCCCCCTACCCTCTCAGTTTGGCATATATGCATTGTGAGGATGAGGTAGAGCCTGAGCTATCCCAGTAGGCTGAAAGGCTGTGTCGGGTATTTGACAGTAATCGAGATTTGATAGGTAATGTAAATCATGGAATACGCCTCACTGGGGGGGGCGGGGGTTCTATCAGGAACCAAATCCTCCATATGCAGCTTTGAATAAGAATGTAATAGATAAAGCTTGAGACAGCTTAGACAAACAGGAGATTTGTAGTACTGTTTTTTTAGACATTATTGGTGCCTATTGCCTAATCTCATGCTTTTGACTGAATTTAGAGGACAGTGCACTTGCTTTTGCTCTACTTGAGCTACCAAGGCATCTGTGATATGTGTGGGTGGTGTCAGGGCAGTGTCGGTGACCACGGGTCTTATCAACATTGAGAACAGGGTTAGAGAAGGGAGGTGATGTTTAAGGATGCTGGGATCTACTGCCCAACTTTCTGCAACTGTGGAGAGCTGCCCACTTGATAAAACCATTTGTCATTCTCTCAACTGCTATTTTTTCTCTCTTACCGGCAACACATCATTTCACAAAGGCATCACGCTACGAAGTGCTCTAAATTCCAAGAACTACTATAGTATCACAGCAATTGGTACCAGAATAGGAAAAAGTTTAATTAACCATTCCTACTGAGCTCATCAGGTTGTTGCCTTGGTTATTTATTTCTCCATCCAAACAATCACTTTTGATTTAATGTCAGTGTAACAGTAATTGTTGTGTTAGAATAAGTCATTTTGGATCTGTTATATCAATTAAATACCAATAATCAAAGAAATGGAAAAGAATATGCAGCAGCACGAAGGAGCATCAGTATTCAGCTGCTCGCCACCACAGGGGATGGGTGGGTGGGAGGAGAGAGGAGCTCCTATCACCCCCCTCCGCTAATTAAAACTAACGACTCCAGGTGCTGCACAGCGCCGGGCAGGGGAACGGCCGGGCGGTGTGTTTGTGTTGGTGGTTCGCCTTCATTACCACCTCCATCCATTCTCTTTAGGAGCCCACCGCAATATCGACTTGGACCCCAACACAAAATGTGCAATGCAAGAAAATAGGGGTGATCTAAATGCAAATGGTACGGTGTGATGCATTATACAAGGTGTGAGGGGCAGTGATATGGGCGGCAGGAAGAAGATCCTTTCTTTTAGTAGAGGTGGTGGAATATCAATGGCAGCCACTGGTCAATAGCAGTATCGGCCTTCTAAATGTTCTCCAAAAGCCTGGGAATGGGGGAGGTTGTTTCTCAGCAACTAAGGAGTCGATTAACATATTCTCTACACTTCCTTTGAGCAAGTTGGTGATCAATGCAAGGCGGGAAGAGAGTGAGAGAGCAACTATGTCTATTCCCATCCCTGTCTTTTTAAATCACACCAGGTCTCAAGAGCCCTTAGGTCATCCCAGCATTCCTCTAACACACACGTACAGACACTCTGTGGAGTGTGGCTCAACCCGCAGGCTGCACTGCACAGATCCATAATTATGACAAATAGTTTCTTGATACTACCGGCAATATCACAAATGCAAAATACAGCTGAATTAAATTCTGAAAAATGGCTTTGAGTAAAAGGTAGTTTGAAGCAGATGATGGTCTTTTAGTTCAAGCTGAAGATCCAGTGACAGCAGGTACCACATCCAGTTAAAATTAAAAAAATTACTGGAAGAAAATATGAATTTTGTACACCCTAGTTGAACTGTACAATGATCTCATTGAAATTGTACCATTGTCTGTGTGACATAGAATGAGAGAAAGATTGTACGTTTCCTGCAGAATGTGCCATCAAAAGCTTTTTTAACGTCAAAGCATTTTCCCTGTGTCAAAGATGCTGCAGACACAATGGCCAGTGATCAGTGTCAACAAACAGCTTTCTTGAAAATGTTTGACTTTTTAATCACACATAAAACTCTTTCTTTCAAGGTGCCTTCAAAGACTTTCCAAATTGGCACTTCCAAATCCTGTGATGTATTTACTGGTGATTGGTGCCCACTGGTGAACTGAAGGCAATAGCTAGTGAATGCATCATGATCGCATTTCTCAAGCTAGTAAGAACTGCCTGAATGCACCATGCAACAATTGCCTGGTGCACAATGGATTGTGGGATGCTGAGTGATATGAAGGATACACTGGTTATTTCCTCCAACTTCAGGCAAAAGAGGGCTGCACTTCCATTTTTTGGGTTGAAACTAAATTGTTGAGAACCAGAGTGGAGTGCATGCAAAAACAGTTAAATGTTTATAGGTGCTAGATCAACAACTCAGAAATAAGAAACTATGCAAAAGAACCACTAACTGTACTATGTGTGCCCTCTTACTATAATACTTCTATAATACTTCAAACTGCTTTTTTTTATGGAAGACATTTTGACAAAGCACAAGTGTAAATAATAAAATTATTGATGGTTTGATTCCATTTAGCTGATTCAGTTTCCAGGTCTTGTCACACTGTCATGGCTTTCTGGAACATAGGCAGGTTAGTTGCTGATATGTACCCAGAGTGGACTTTTCAACACTCCTTCCTCATAGACATAAAATTCCACACATACATTATCACAGTTGATGAGGTAATTTTAATATGAATGAAATCCAATAAACAAACTTGCCTGGAGTAAATCCGCTAAGCTATCAAAGATGAGACAACACAGGGATCATTGTGCTTGTTACGCCTATGGCACTCATTCTTGTTGTGTCATTAAGAAATCTTAAATCTTGAATTTGCCCTCAGCATTGTTGATTTTCTTTAATGACTCTTTCATCTCATCTCCAGCATTTGAATATTGTGGACATATTAAAGGCCAGGTCCGAGCTTTATGAAGTATCCCAAATACCCCCCCTCACCCCCACCCCCGATATTGGATGAACTTGGGATTGAATTGAGCTGTCATTTCTCTGCCCCTGTTGTAGAATAATTCTACGTCTGCGTTAATATAACTTGTGTGTTTAGAGTGCCAAGTTTGAGTAACTCTGAAATAAAACATTTACTTTAGTCTATAGAGTATTTATTCATTTCACCAGGCGCTTAAATGAAAGGGCATTTTAAAAGCATGTTGATGACTTGATGTATTTCCACTAGAAACTGCAAATTTATCTGACCATATAATAGGGTTATTTATCTCTGAATTTGTTCCTTATATGATGTAATAGTCTGCAATATTTTCATATGAGAACAATCCATTTTGCTAATCAAGTGCCAGTTGATAAAATGTCAGCTTTTCTGAAAAAGAAAATCATCTGGCCATAAGCAGTGATGTAGTTTACATTTACACCATGACCATTTATTACCATTAATCAGGCCAAAATTTGAGAGAAAAAATGTAGTTGCAGGCACACTTGGATTGCAGTCTTACTCTTGAGTGTGCATGATGGTTGTGACGGCATTACAATACACAGAAGACAGGCACGTGTGTGTGTGTGCACTTGCGTACCAATAATAATATTAATAATATTATTAAACTTTATTTATGTAGCACCCTTAAAAACAGTTACAAAGTGCTTCACAATAATAACAGAACACATTATGAAACACAAAAATAAGTCTACCTACATATCCAGCAGTGGACCTCGCTGCCATTATACATTCACAATAATGGACCAGCGTTCCAACTGTTGGTCAAGCTTTAAATCATGCTAAAATCAAGTCTAAAATTCTCAGGTGAATTTATTTCAATTTTAGCCAAGAGAGGACCTGTAGGTGGTGCAGGAGTATAAAAGTTCAAACTTTTTCTGTTATGAGTTGTATTTTTTTCCCTGTGGGTTTCTGGGTTTTGCCATTGTTTCATGTGTCCTTCTGTTTGCCTCTGTTTGTCTCGTTTAGCTCATGTTTAGTGTCATTCCTGGTCTGTGTACTTCTGTATTATTTTGTCCATGTTTGTGCTGTGCTCTGTTTAATCTTAGTTCAGTCTGTTTTCCCTGTTAGTTGTAGTTCACTGGTATATTTGTGATCTTTCTGCTTATGTTCTGGATCAGTTATTTATATTCTGTTTCTTCCTGGTTATTAGTTTCCCTATGGCTTTATTGGTGTCTTTCTGTTTTCCCTGTGTTGCTCCCCCCCTAGTCATTATCCCTGGTATGTGTGGTGTTTCTGTTCAGCCCTTGTCTGGTCATTGTAGCGTGTAGACGATCTGTCTGTTGTAGTGTTGTAGCTTGCTCTGTCTTGTCCTGTTACCTGCCCGTTCCCTGTTAGTTCTTAGTATTTTGGATTATACCCGTTCTGGATGTTCTGTTGGATTTCTATGTTCATTTTTGGATTTGTCTCAGCCACTCAGCCAGTGTGCTCGCCTTTTGTTCGTTTAAATAAACCTTCTGAACTATACCTCCTCTGCTATGGGTCCTGCATTTGGGTCCACCAACCTTCTCCACACCACAAACCGTAACATTTTCACTCCTCATTGTCACTATTTATCACGGTACTGGGAAGGGACAGGAAAATATGGCAGCAGGCGGGACTGGAATCATAGATCACTTTTTTTGTATGAGATGGGGGCGGGACAGTATGTTTGTGGGAGTAGGATGGAACAGATGTGATAATCCACTCTCATGTCACCCTCTACTTCACACTATTAAAATGAATGTCTAGAAAACACAGGGGAGTTAAAAGTATTTTAAAATGTATTTTAAAAAATCAGGATAAAGTGAGAAATAAAAGGGTCAGCAATAACATCTGATATCTTTTTTTATCTTTACAATTGCGTTTTCTTTTTTCTTTTTTTCAAGAACACAACAAAATATTGTCCAACCACGACTGAACACAGAGCTTGAGAGGGTGAAAGTTGCTCGCCTGAATTTCTGCTGATGTGACATGTTTGTTACATTGATGGTTGTGAAGCTTGAATCTAGCAACAATAAATGTCTTTTCACTCCTATATATATATTTTTAGTAAAGTGGGATTGGCATTGTTGCTTTTTGAATGAAGGAGTGTAGTGTGCACAACACAATAACAACTTGGGATATTGATATTTAGGTAATTAATTTAATACACTGTTTGCTGTCTAAATGACAGATGTCCCATCTTAAATAACATGGAGTGACATTCACACTCCAAGGACAGACAGACACAAGCCAAATTAATTATTCTACTGAGAAAGAAGATGCTCATCATATTACAACAATTAAGATTTTTAGAGCAGTTACTCTAGAAGCATATGTCACACTTTTAACCAGCACTGTTCTAAATAAATTACCTGTAGAAGTTTTAATCAAACTGTTACAGTGGAAAGGGATAACAGAAAATACATTTTCTGTTATCCCTTTCAACTTTCTTTATAAATAATTTGTTAAATTGTGATCCTTTACAGCAGTTCCCACTTTATCAGGAAAGAGAGCTCTATATAGTGGCAGTCCTTTGTGTTTTTACCCTAATGTTCATCTGTCCATCCCTAGTTATGAAAAAGACTTGAAAAAGACTCCACAATGACACCCTTCCAGCTTGAAGGAAAGTGACCTCAGTCCCCACCACGAGCAGAAACAAGCCAGCTGTTACGATCAGTAACTCTGACTTTTGGAACTCACAAGCACAACACAAAAACAATCAGGATAACTGTCCAAGTATACAAGATTTATTCCAAAAACAAGCCAGGGTCAGAACCAGGAGATCAATCAGAAACAGATTAACATTACCGGCAGGGATCAGGCAGACAATCAGAGTCCAGGAAATCAGGCCGAGGTTAGACAGGAGCATACAGAATCTGTTATGATCCTGCAGTATCTCCTCTTCATCCCTTGTGTTATCCTACTGTTTTCCCCTTCCCTTTGTTTTCTGTCAGTCTCCTTGTTTTCTCTCTCGCTCTCTCTCTCTCTCTCTCTCTGATATCTGTGTGTGTGGTTCCGTCTGGGTTTGGCATTACATTCTGACTCCTGGTGCCAATCACCTCCTGCTCACCTGCCCTCCTGGCCACCTTAACCTTTCCTAGTGAAATTCTCCATGTTATATTCTTGTCCAACCATATCTTTCCTGTACCTAGGATCCATACTGTCCTGGATACCATGCCTCCAACCTCACTCAGCTCTTTGCCAGCCTGGAGCTCCGTTCACCTGCGTGCTTCTTCCTGGTCTGCCGCTCTGCTCTGCATCTACTCCCCATCAGACCCCTTTACCCCTGTACATTCAATAAACTGTGTTTGACTACTTTTCATCAGAATCTGTATGAGTCTGCTTTCAGGTCTAGAGATCTCAGAGATTGGGGAGTGCTGGAAAGCTTAGTGTATGCAAAAGACAATCTGGCAAAGCACTAGTGGAGATGGGACGGTATATATGCTCAGGTACTGAGAGGATGAGCTGCAGATGAGAGGCAGGAACAGGGAACACCAAGTGAAGGGAATCAGGTAATCAGCCTGACAAGAGGGAGTGGCAGGATCTGAAAGGACAGGAAATTTGTAACCATGAAAAGACTGAAATGGATAAAATGCAAACACAGAAATCAGGAAGGATTCATGACACCAGCAGAGGAGTGGGTAAATTATACAACTTGCCTTAGGTGAAAGTGAATAAGTGAACTGAGTAATGGAATATGTATTTACCCCAAAGATAAGAGAAAATGTTTTGGAGATGATCCTAAATAAAATGGAGACTTTTTTATTATTTAGCGATGAGGGAACACAGAAAGTCAGACAAGATCCCAATGTGCCCAAATATACAAAAACTATAAAAGTTGTATTTAGTAATATCTGCAATATATATCTCCAAAACAGCTCTACAATTCACTGCCCAAACAACCGATAACCTATTGTTAGTGATGAATAAAATGCACTCATGCATCATTTACTTTAAATAATGACTGCTCTCTATTGTGTTTTAAAAGGACAATCCCTGCCACAGTAGCAACACTGAGTCACTGCTTCATCTATCATATAAGTTTTATATTGGAATTCTTAAAAAAAAAGTCATTATAATAGTCACATACTTGTACTTCATGTATTATAAAATTCATCAAACCTTTATATACTGCACACACACACACACAAGTTTTGATAATTGTATGATATTAGTGCAGCATAGTGTAGCTAAGATTTACAGGTAAAACACTTATTCTAAATTAAAGTGGCTGTGGTTATTTTCAGATTATTTGTGTCATAGGGAGATGTTTCAATGTTAAAAGTAATATAGTTAAATTATCCATAAAGAAAGTCCTATTTTTCCCTTTTCAGTCCAAGAATACCACTGACTGTTCCATTGCGGCCATCAGCCAGGGTAGAAAGTTGCATGGCAATTTTTAGAAGAACATTTAAAACACATTTTTCATTATGAAAAAACATTAATAAAATATCTATTTCATTTTAGTTTTTCACAATGACAATAAATAATGGTTCACGCTTGGTTGGTGTCGACTGACCACTGTTGGTAATGTAGGAATGCATGTTTGTGAGTTTGGGCGTATGAGTATGTTTCTCTGTGTAGTCTGCTGTGGGGGAAATATTAAAAAGCATTCTTTGTGGCTTGCACTGAATAGGAGCTTCTTTCCTATGTTAGCACGTTGCCCAAGCTGGTCACAGTTTATCACAAATTATGAGCTTCTTTATTCAAATGACGACTTTGATGCTGTTGCTCTGGTGTTGCACTGTACTTCACAGATGCCTTGGTAATAGTGGTGCACCTGTTTAAATGTTTAGTATAATAGGAATATGTACAAGACTAATTTATACAAACAAAATTAATATAAATGGTAATTGCATCTATTTTCATACTATATTTGTGTATGAATTCAGGCATGTCTTTTAAGACCTGCACTATACAGTAGAAGGAGTGAGGAATAGCATGATAAAACTTATACTATGTTAATTTAGGATCTCAAATATTTTATCTCGTGAATGACATTTGTCAGAAGTTTTTACTGCCATTTAGTTTTCAGTGAATGTTTAAGGATGCTTGTGAGTCCACAATTGCATTCTGGAGACCACACTGAAACAGGAAACACGAGATTAAATTTTTCTCTTGTGTGGGCTTCAGTTGAAGTGAATGGAAGACAGACCGAATATCGGTAGGACAGAAGTGTATATTGGTAGGACAGACGTATAATGTGAGGAAGTAATGTCCACCACCTTTATCACACATACCAAATGAATATCTTTTGAAAGAATGGTGTTTCTTCCCCAGTGCAGTTCAAGTGACTTGAAGAATCTATGCCACGGAAGGTGTTCTGGAGGCTCATACTAGCCCAACACTTAATAAGATTTATTTTTTTTATTATTTATTAGTTACTACATGAAAACATTATTGAGTGTGATTCTACAAGACATTTAGGGATGTCTTAATGTCGCTGTGGAATATACACTGCTCACAAAAAAAAAAGGGAACAATTAAACAACACAATATAACTCCAAGTCAATCACACTCCTGTGAAATCAAACTGTCCACTTAGGAAGCAACACTGATTGACAATCAATTTCACATGCTGTTGTGCAAATGGAATAGACAACAGATGGAAATTATAGGCAATTAGCAAGACACCCCCAATAAAGGAGTGGTTCTGCCGGTGGTGACCACAGACCACTTCTCAGTTCCTATGCTTCTGGCTGATGTTTTGGTCATTTTTGAATGCTGGCGGTGCTTCACTCTAGTGGTAGCATGAGACGGAGTCTACAACCCACACAAGTGGCTCAGGTAGTGCAGCTCATCCAGGATGGCACATCAATGCGAGCTGTGGCAAGAAGGTTTGCTGTGTCTGTCAGCGTAGTGTCCAGAGCATGGAGGCGCTACCAGGAGACAGGCCAGTACATCAGGAGACGTGGAGGAGGCCGTAGGAAGGCAACAACCCAGCAGCAGGACCGCTACCTCTGCCTTTGTGCAAGGAGGAGCAGGAGGAGCACTGCCAGAGCCCTGCAAAATGACCTCCAGCAGGCCACAATGTGCATGTGTCTGCTCAAACGGTCAGAAACAGACTCCATGAGGGTGGTATGAGGGCCCGACGTCCACAGGTGGGAGTTGTGCTTACAGCCCAACACCGTGCAGGACGTTTGGCATTTGCCAGAGAACACCAAGATTGGCAAATTCGCCACTGGCAGAAGATGAAAGCAGGTTCACACTGAGCACATGTGACAGACGTGACAGAGTCTGGAGACGCCGTGGAGAACGTTCTGCTGCCTGCAACATCCTCCAGCATGACCGGTTTGGCGGTGGGTCAGTGTGGGGTGGCATTACTTTGGGGGGCCGCACAGCCCTCCATGTGCTCGCCAGAGGTAGCCTGACTGCCATTAGGTACCGAGATGAGATCCTCAGACCCCTTGTGAGACCATATGCTGGTGCAGTTGGCCCTGGGTTCCTCCTAATGCAAGACAATGCTAGACCTCATGTGGCTGGAGTGTGTCAGCAGTTCCTGCAAGAGGAAGGCATTGATGCTATGGACTGGCCCCCCAGACCTGAATCCAATTGAGCACATGTGAGACATCATGTCTCGCTCCATCCACCAACGCCACGTTGCACCACAGACTGTCCAGGAGTTGGCGGATACTTTAGTCCAGGTCTGGGAGGAGATCCCTCAGGACCATCCGCCACCTCATCAGGAGCACGGCCAGGTGTTGTAGGGAGGTCATACAGGCACGTGGAGGCCACACACACTACTGAGCCTCATTTTGACTTGTTTTAAGGACATTACATCAAAGTTGGATCGGCCTGTAGTGTGGTTTTCCACTTTGATTTTGAGTGTGACTCCAAATCCAGACCTCCATGGGTTGATAAATTTGATTTCCATTGATAATTTTTGATTTTGTTGTTTGCACATTCAACTATGTAAAGAAAGTATTTAAGTATTATACTACTATTTAAGGAGTATTTAATGATATTATTTCATTCATTCAGATCTAGGATGTGTTATTTTAGTGTTCCCTTTATTTTTTAGAGCAGTGTATAAACATCTGTGTTGAAGGCTTTTTGAAGCACTGTCGTGATTACTGGATGTCGCTGCTTTGTTGCGTCTTCACTCACTGTGTCAGGTTAGTTTTTAACCTCTGACCCATACACCAGATGGGAATTTTCTTTGGCTATTGCAAGATGTTGTGTACATTCAAAACAAGGAAATGAAGACAAGGGAATATGGTATGAAATTTTATTTTGTTTTACATTAAATACACTTTACCACATTTCAAATGTCAGTCATTTGGCATGTGAGTCCATCCCATTTCTCTCAGTTTTGATTGTGTTCATGATTTGTCTTGTGGAAGAAGTTTGAGTTTCTGCATGTGGCACTCTTCCCTTTTTTTGTCTTGACACACATGCAAGCACATTTTCTAACGTACAAGGAGTGAAATTGCCAAGAGTATCTGTTTGAGATCTTAAATTCTCAACACCACCAATACTTGATATTCCTTGATACACTAGACCAGCATGACATCTTAAAATAGTATTTGCTTTTATCAGTTAGTTAATAAAAAGCAAAAGCAGGAATGTAACCCATTCAATACAACACACGCAGTCCGTAATAATCTGCAAGAAAAAAAAATCATATTCACTGATGATCACACTTTGAAAAGGAAGATTGCTTGCCAGTCATTCGCGTGAGCAACCCTCTTACTGTTAAATCTCACCATGAAAGAAATAATTTTCAACTGATAATCCAGAGTGGGAATTCAATCTTTGCCTTTTTTGTGAAAACACCATGGGAACTGGTAGGACACAATCATATTTCTTTTCTCTGGCTTTAAAATGATTTGCCAGGGTTCGGTGGTAGATATCACGCTCACTGAGCTGGAATCGTGAGGGCTACATCTTTGAGTTAACTGATTATTTTCTCACCAGTGGTAGCTGTAATAACTAGCTGAGCAAGCAGAGGGCACACTGTTGATACTGGTAATCTGACAACTCCAGTACTTGCTTGAATTTTCCTCAAACATGTTTCACACAGATACTGACAGAGTGCCTGTGCTTTCACAGATCAGACAGGAACTACTGAAGTAGACATGTAGTTAGATTTCTATTACTTTGCTTCCCAACAGTGTTAATGTTGCGTCATTTTGCTGATACCAGAGGCCATAGTAAATAATAATCAAGTTGAGCTAATCACAGTATGCTTTTTATGTAGATTGTACATAAATGTTAAGTTGTGATGAGGATCTGCAGAATACCACCAGTTTAGATTACTGGACTGTAAAATTGCTTCTGCTGACGTTTAACATACCCCAAATAAACTACAGGAAATGTATCACT